CTAACATTGCATCNAAAAGGCAAACCCGATCCCTCAGTATCGGATTGGATGCCAAATGTCTGATTAGCATGAAGAACTAAGATTCCGATGTTCTAATCCTGTCTCTCCCCAGTATTATCCCTCTCCAACCAAAACTCTTTTATTCTTTCAGGGCTCGTGAATCCCACACCCATATTACAATTCACAAGCTGGACCACGCGCTTAGCAAAAGTTTTACATGCTTTTAAGACAGATCAGCATACAAAATTACATTAGGACACTTGCCCTTTAAACAGTATAAGCACTTCGGGCTTGACAGGAGCCCGGATCAGGTGGGCGGAGCCAGACTTTTTTAGTCGTTGGGGTTGTGTCATGTTTATAAATGATATTTAAAATTGAAATTCAGCTTTGATATCAAAGGGACTACAAAAGTGGAGTTTATAAATTTTGTGGGTTGTTATATAAATTTTTAAGTTTTTTTTACAAAAAAGAAAAAAAGAAAAAATAAATAAATTCTACAACATTATAACTTTTATGCTTCATGTTACAATTTTTTTTGATCAAATTATAATTTTTGAGATACTTCAAACCAAATCCTAAATATTAAAATTGATTGTTTTAATTCAAGATCAACAGTAAAATCTAAAAAATAACTTCTCAAATTTATTTAAATAAAAAATATTTTACTGTTCTTGGAAAAAAGAAATTGGATGTGATCCAAATTGATTTGTGTTGGACTATACTCTAATCTGACCATCTATTCAAATTTGTTTATAATTAATCAAATTTTTATTTCATTTAAAACAATTAAATCTAAAAAATAAAGTATATGAACGGCCAAGAACGCTTCATTTTTATTTTTTTTGGTAAGTAGGATCATTCCATAATTTTCTATTGTTTTTATAGAAAATCCTAATGTCAGGCGGACATATGGGCCCACAGCTAAAAATCTATCGAAGACAAATGATGTCACACTTGTTTGTAAAATACAAACTTACCCTTGAACTTTTATAATATTTCCCTGGGGGCAATGTCTAAAATTTTTTGAAATTTTAAATATACCCCACATGTTTTAAAAATTACAGTGGGGGGCAGCTGGCCCCACTGTAGATTCGCCCCTGGCCCGGATCGTGGTTCTCTTCCTCAAAATGATTTCGTTTTATACATCAATGGTGTCGTTTTGGGAGCGGTTATTGTAGTGCCTTTCTAACATTGCATCTTTATTTTTGGAGCAATAAAAACTTAACTTATTTATATATTTTATTATTTTTCAATCGATGATCATGTAAAATTTAATTAAGGATCGAGATTGAATTTCGGCAATGCACCAACCATCTCAACTATGATCTTTTTTATTCACATTGCTACTTAAAGTATTGTGTTTTGTGCAGATTACACATTGCACCCTAAAAATTTTAAGAATTCTTATTTTGAATTTTTAAATATTAAATTTTTTACATTATACCCTCAAGTATTCAAAGTGTTGTAATGTAACTTTTTCTTTAACTTTTGTTACTCGTTCCGTCAACAACAATGGGGTGTTTTTGATTTGAATAAGTTATGAAAGTTAATGGTATAGTCACATTATAACATTTTTAACACATTAACGGTACAGTGTAAAAAAATTTAATCTTTGAAGATGCAAAAAAAATTTAAACCTTTTATGATAAAAAGTGTGATTCTCCTTGGTGTTTTTTTACATTGCACATTGGACTATGTGATTAGTTTCACATTGTCTCAATAGTTAACATCCATTAAATACTTAACAAAAAATTATTTCATTTTGTCCCTCAAATTATGTAATATTTTTCATTTTACCCTGATATGTAAGCAATTTCATCCAAAAAATATAATGGACATCTATGTTTAGGGCAATGTAAAATAATTTAATTAGTTGAGGAGACAATTTGAAGAATTTAATAGTCCAAAAGAGCAAAGTAAAATCATCTATCAATTATCTCAAAGAATGTGAATTCACTACCTGCAACGAAGGCATAAATTCAACTTGAAATTAGTGGTGTAGGTTTAGTTTTAGTAAATCCGTATGGGGAATGAATAGACCCGCTAGACCCTTAGATAAGTGGGTCTACTTGAATCTGACCAAATACAACTCTAACCTATTAAAACATGAATTACACACAATACAAAATTAACACACATAAATATGACTATACACGATTATATATGAATTAAATATAAATAAAAAAAAATTTAACAAAACACGACAGATAAAGGACCAACTTTGCGTCAGCCAAAGATATGGAAGAGTTTTGATCAAAAAAAAAAAAGAAGATATGGATGATTTCAATCATGGCAAAAAGACATCAAGTCTCCACCGCAAGGAATGTAGGCAGAAACAATCTCTCTGTATCCATTGGCAACAACAGAATGGCCTCATGACTAGTGTGAAGGTTAAAGAACATTACGTTGGCAATTTTGTTAAAATGTGAGGGAAGAAGGCCACTATAAGTTGCAGGATTTAAGCAGAACACCTTTGTGGCGTAGAAAGCTCCCAATTTCTGGACGTAACCGTTCATATGCGTTTGATTTGCCAAATGACAAGAATTGCTGTTTCGTACATCACCGCATCAATCCAATCAATGGATATGGTATTATTGTTTTTTTCCAATTGCTATATTTCCGAGGTTACAAGTTGACCGACTGGCCACCGCTGCCATTATTAAGTGTCATAAAATCGAAAATTTGAAAAGCGTTGCTTCTCTATCATGTAATAATATTTAAATAAAAAAAAATGTCTTAATATCTTACATCACAAAATTAGAGAAAGGGATGAATGTGCAGCAATAGCAAGCATAGACTTATCCAAGTGACATGCAACCCTTCTAAAAAATAAATTTTATAATATAAAACATGATATATTTCAATAAATTTATTCGACGGTCTTAAATTTATTCAACATACCTCTGAAAATCATTCACATTGTATCGTGTCTAAAGACACATGATAACCCATATATATATATACGTTTTGCGAATATATCAAAATAAAAATAATAATAATAAAGGTTAACAATATTCTTAGTTCTTAAAATATATATTTTTTATCAAATTTAGTCTTTATTGTATCAATTTAATCAATAAAATATTGAGTTTGTGTCACTTAGTCCCTACATAAACGGACCGTTAAATTTTTTACAAAATAATCACGTGTTAAGTACGTGATATTTCTAAAACAATGGCACGTGGTCACTTCCGTTAAAAAAACTTAACAATTTATCTATGTAGGGACCAAAGTAACATGAATTGAACACTTTAAAAATCAAATTAATAAAATTGATACAATTAAAATTAAAATTAAACCGATAAAAAATACATACTTTAGGGACTCAAATTACTTATAAACCCTGATATGGCAAAATAATTGTGAACTTAAACAACCATATATGTAATCGGAGCTGCAATTGACTTGTAATTGTTTTTTTGTGTTTACCACTAATTTAATTCATTTATTATGCATGTTTTTAAATCAAAATGATTTCGTTTAGCACATCTATTTTGTGTCGAATTTGTGTCTTGTTTCATATGTCATTTCTAAAATTTACCGACATAGATGTAGTCACTACGTCCACAAAATGTCAACAAAACCTGTCTCACCATTGAAGAAGAGGCAGCTTTCCAATTCAGACAACCAGCAACATGGGACAAAATACATTGATTTCTAGGATAAGAGAAAAAGACTATGCAAAATAGACATATAGCCTTCACCCGTTAGCCTCAAAGAACACTGCTCAAGGCCAGAAAGAGACTAAACCAACAACTGTGACCATTCCATGCCCCTAACTCTGCGGGCCTAAACCTATCGGATTTAATTCGAGGCTGACAGAAACCGGTGTGGTCACTAGGAAGAAGTAAAAATTGGGTGAGACAATGAGATTACATCACACCAATATCACATAGCATTTTCAACCAATTACAAAATAACAAATAAAATTATTATTAATAATCATTAAAACAACAGAACTCACTAAATCCATTTAATATGTTAGTTACATAATCTTTCTAAAACTCTCATGCTTCACACGCACTTTGGATGCAAATACTCAGTAAATTTGCATTTTCAATTTGTGAATTCAACTAATTCACAATTTAATACTCAAATTTTTAGTGGAAAAACACTAACTCAAACATAAAGATACATATCAAATTAAAATTATATTTATAAATTTAAGAATTTATAATAAATATATATTTAAAAAATAAATAATTTCTATAAAATTTTAATTTTTTATATTCTATTCTTATTAAACTTTTACTGGTGAATATATTTTTATACACAACACTCTCAAGAAACTCTCTTCTCAATTTTTTTTGAATGTCGACACTTTTGGCCTTCCGTCTCCGCTCTATATGATTTAATTTCTTATTCTATCACTGGCTGGTTACATTCAATATTTTCTCCACTTAGAAGACACCCGTAATCAATTCCATTAGTTAACACAATCTGTTTTTAAACTTTGGATGTTAAAAGAGAATGCATTTTTGAACAGAAGCATCTAAATATGCGGTGCTGTCGAAAAATAGCACTACTCCCTTTCTGGTATACTTGTTCTTTGTAAAGGAATAGCACTCAACTCAATCACCTTTCTCAAAGGCCATATTGTAAGTATAGATTTAAATATATATACTTGCAATATATCAAAATATGAAAGGGTGCGGCAATATGTGCTATACTTCTGGACTACCATCTAAATGGCATCGTTGGCCATCTCCCAACAAACAAAAGCAGACAAATGCATGATTGGTTAGAAAGAAATGGATAGAGGACAAGACCTTGACACAAAATCACAATTTCTTTTCTGGAGCACACGAAGTTGAAAAAGTACAGCACCATAATAGGAGTAATGTGGATGTTCATGGAAACCTGATGCCAACAAATCTGCTAACAAACCAGACTTTCTAACAATGGGAGTTAACCAGTTTAGTGAAGAAGTGCAGCAAAATTAAAGAAGGGGGCCACTAACAAGATGGCACTGGCTTGAAAGAATCTGGCATTAAGCTTTACTAGGCACGAATTCTGCTGCTTTCTGCATTTCTTACGGGATAGAAATAAGGATGGGCCTGCATAAACAAAGGCCAATTATTTATAGAACACTTTTTGATGCAAAAATGGTCGGGGATTTCATCGCATAGTGCAGAACTTGCTCTCAACAAAAGCAAAAATAGGTGGGAATATTATTCAGTAGTGCAGAATTAAGGTATTTTTTTACCATTGCTTCTTTTGCAGTTGGCCTTTCTTGATGATCATATCGCAGCAACTTGTCAACAAAGTCAATTGCCTTAAAAGTAAACATCTAACTATTATCAGTAACACAAAGCCATGATGACTTGCATCTGAACACAAACTGCAAAATTATATTTACCTCAGGAACAGCTAAATGTTGATTGTCAGCATTAATGAACTTCATCCATGGTTTCCTGCTATGCCTATTAACAGAATTGAGCAGATATTTATAAATTAAAACCAACTACATTTGATGAGTAAACTTGACTACAAAATCATAACACCAACCTCCCAACAAGGGCCGCAAGATGGGGGTCTAAATCTAGGCGATATTTGTTTAGATAAGCATTTAATTCGTCTGTCCCCAATACCTATCAAAACAGAAACTTTGGTAATTGAATTTCTAATATAACTTACCCTCCACTACTTGGAGCAGCCTTAAGTAGAATGATTGTCACTTGTATATGCACATCCACCAACATCACATGCATGAAAAAATGCAGAGAGAGATAGAGAGTGACAAGGAGGAAATTGGCGCATTTAGAGAGACAGACTTATATGCATGTATATATTGAAGGTATAACAGAAAATATCATCGTGCAAATTTAACAAAGGGGCAACACTGTCGCTGACATCTCAAACACCCAGATTTCACAGCAGAACTTGACGTCTCAACATCACACATAAAAGAGCAGTAGTAGTACCAAGACACATGAACACAGGGATGTGTACACTAGCAAAAATGACTAACAGATGGAGTAATAATGAAGTGTTTTTAACATAAATACTCATCAAATCATTCCACATACCTTAGCAATTTTGACCAGTTGATCCTGATTATCATGCCCATAAAAAAATGGCTCCTTCCGGAATATCTGTACAGCACAAGCCTTTACATTAAGCATTAGAGTGAGGAGGCACCTTCACATACATTGGCATGGCATGATATGTTTATCCTCCTCACCATCAGCCACCCATGGTCCCATAGATGACATGCCCGCAGATCAAAATCCACTAATATACTGCACTAGAAAGATCTATGCCATATCCCAAGATCCTTTTTTTAACATTAAATCTCTTCAAAAAAGTTTTAAAGCAAAAAATCAATTATCCATATCTTAAACCATCTTTCGGGGATAACTTTGGGCTGCAGCTTGATAGAGAGGAGGTCCACCAATTGATATGTCCAGGCATATTTTGCGTAACACAGAATTTGCAAAAGCATACTCAAAAAATACACCTTCAAATAAATAAAGATGCAACCTAGCATAAAAGATGTATACCAGAAGAAAATGCTCACCATTCCAGCAAACATACAACCAAGGCTCCACAAATCTAAAGAGTAATCATAGTCTTGCAAATCAACAAGAAGTTCAGGACCTTTAAAATATCTGCAAAAAGAGAAAAAAAAGCATGTTAGAAGATGATGAGGAAAAAGAAAAAGGAGAATTTATCTCAAAAGATGCAAATCATTTTGAAATCTAGTCAAATTTGGTAACAAGTCCCGAACACACAAATACATGGAACAGTGTGCAAGCCTAAAACTCTTAAACAACAGCTAAATTATTGTATTTTTTACACTTCACCAACTCGTATAAGGGAGCCAAGTGAAATTCTCACCTTAGCCCCACAAGGAAGATGTTAATATATTCGTGAAGTAACAATGTATGTTTAACTTGGCATACACCTACTTTTCTGATGGGAGAAAGCTTCAACACATCAAACTCTTGGCTCAAGAAAGCCCCATCACAACAATCTCAAAGCAGCTAGAAAAGTCCTCTTAAGCATAGTTGTTAGTATCTTACGATTCGTATCTGAGTCATAAATTTTTTCCCATATCTTACAATATGCGATATGTATTTTACGATACGTTCTAATACAATAAAAAAAAAAATGATTCGCGCAATATCAAAATGACCTCGTTGACAAGATTTTTTTTTACCTAAACAATGACACGACATTTTTTCCCCGATATGTTTTATATTTTGGTTTGACATCAAAAAACTAAAGCTATCAAAATCATCATCTTCTCTCAAGACCGTCTTTTGTTTCTCTTGGATCTTATTCTTCAGATAAAATCCTACCTACATTTCAATCTCTGTTGTATAGACAAACAACTGTTTCTCTTTTGATCTCTATTAGACACAAGAATCACACGAAATGATAAGTGAATTGAAACAATATTTATATTACTTCAGAGATTTTATATTTACATATTTTTAGGTATGTGTATATATATGTTTGTGTGTGTATAAATTTAAATTAAGCGACACAATATGTTACAATATACGATACATTATTATTGAAAATCGATACACATTCTGACGACCATGCTCTTTAAGATACTAACCAGTCCATTTTATCAAGGACTCAAACCTCAACAATACCATAGTTATCACATCACCTTACAACGCCAATCCAAATTTTAAGTCTACTCCAAAGTCCATAACGGTATACAAATAAATCTCACTAGTTCTCATTAATGCCACCATTCATCTCTGTTGCATTTAGCCAGTACTTGATTGGATTTACTTGGACCTCAAGCAAATACGAACATTAATCACTCTATCCTAGTTTTTTCGGTAACCAAATTGATCGAAAACATAGTCTGATGTGCATATGTTAAGCATATAGCCAATAACTTCCTAGCTCTTAGCTATTCCGTCAAGCTTAAACATGCTCTTACAAGAAAGAAGTAATCTCAAGGCCTGAGGATTCCTTTGATGCTTACTTTTAGGCATAGCATTAGCCTCTTTCAACGAGTCAGAAACCCTGATCTGTGCACTAATCTGATAGTTGATTTTGCATTCATTGAGCCAGAACAATAGGTCATGATGCGAGCATATCTCTACTACTACTTAATTAACAACTAGTCAACCTCAATAAATATAGGGAGAACTGAACAGAGGTTGAAGTAGCAGTGGGCAGTGGGCAGTGCAACAAAGCTACAACTACAGAGCATCGGGCATTGGGCAGGAGATAATGAATGTTTGGGTGAGACCCCTAGCTCCGTTCTTATCCAACCTTTTTCATCTATCCTTAAAAGTAGAGCAAGTAACTATGTTCCTTTCCCATGAAGGAAGTGGGATACGCAACCAAATGCTTTCTCCAAATCTAATGTCACTATCAACTAAATTCTCTTCTCTTTATTGGATTGAGATTTACTTACTACCACTCCTACCGGATCCAAGTGGACAGATGCCCAATTCCCCGACCCATTACTCATTCCTTCATGACTTGATAGGAATTGCAATCTCAAGAAAGGGAACAAAAATTGACCTCCGACAATAGGTATATGAATAGGGGCTAGATAATTTTCCATGGGCGCTTAGGCTAATTGGACTTCATGGTGTGACTCTTCCGCAAAGCAATGAAAGCCATGAAAAAACAAGGCATGTCTCCATTTCAGTTATGCGTAATTTCAAATAAGACTCAATGTCCTAAAATTAATCTTGAATTATTTCACTAACATCCTAATCATCTAAACATCAAATCATGCCCTATTAATTTCTTGAAAAGAAAAATCAACATATTAAAATGCCATAACAATTTCCAAATGACAGTACTATACTTAGAGTAAGTCTATCATGAGGTCAACCTCTTGATAAGTTCTTACAAAGTCTCTCTCAAGTTGAAATTTCACGCACACTAAAAATTTTGAAAAAGCTGATTTTACCCCCAACAAAGAAAACTATCAAGATCATTTTTTAAAGGGAGCAGAAGCAATGATTTATGCAACTGCGAATAGACATGATATAACACGTTAAATAGTGTTTGAAGAGCTACAAGCAAAACAGTAGAAATAAGACACACCTCGAAGCAACACGAACATTATATTCTTTCCCAGGATGATAGAATTCTGCAAGGCCCCAATCTATAAGTCGAAGTTTACGCTGCTCATGATCAATCATGACATTATGGGGCTTCACATCACGATGCATAATACCTTGAGAGTGGCAGTAATCCAATGCCTAAACATGATACCAAAAAAACTTGAAATTTACAGCAACTTAACAGTTTTGAATTTCACCATTCACAACAATTGAGACAAGCAATATAAATATTCTAGAAGAAGTAAATAAACAAGTAAAAACACGCCAATTCAAGTACATGATTCCAAACATCCAGAAGTACAAAAAGTTAGACATCAGTTGGACAACAATCAGATTGCAAATGAAAAAATGGATGAGTATGCTACTGCAAATTACCCCAGCCCCACTCTCAATAACAATGTGTTCCCACAACTGACATTTCATGAAAACCATTCAATCAATGGACAGCCAGGATTATATTTCTAAAGTACTACTCAAGTATGGACCACCTCCTGGTTATAGATTAACATACTAGGGCACATTTATCCAGAGATCTTCTTGCACCAACCCTTACCCTTGAAAAAAATCACTTCAGCAGTCCTTTGCAGCAACCTTAACTAGGAGCTCTGACTTGGGCATTTAGTAAACATTAACTACAAAGCATGGAAGAAATTCCTACAATAACGATGACAAGAAATGGAAAAAGTTAAACCTAACTGATGTTAACATCCTCACCCCTCTCTACTCTCCCCTGTATAAGAAAGTTTAATGCACAGACTGTTACTACTCCCAGTTCTAAAACCAATGACAAGAATTGTAGAAACTCAGTAATGTTATTAGGAAACACATTTCAACATCCATTTTTGTCATGGAACTTGATGCTGATCGCACATTAAAACAACTCAATGAATCACTTAAGTCAAGAACGGTTGCGATCACATAAACTCCACTTCTGAATATCCAAACTCACTACTTTTGTATCATTTTAAGACCATTCATATATCAAAAAATTTTTAAAAAAAAGTATCAGATGGGGCAAAAATATATATATAATAGGCAACAGCAACTAATTTGCATCAAAATATTTCCAAGCCAAGGACAGGATCTGGAAACATGAGCCTCCATTTTGTAGCCCTGTATCAGTATTGAGAGACAGGAATTTCATTCTCTCCAAAAAGGTTCAATAGTTCAACTAAAATGTGAGTTTTTTCACCCTCATGGATTGAACAAATTGCAAAGATGATACACCCCACTTCGACTCCCCAACCCCCCAAAAAAAAAAACGCAGGAAAAAAACTCAAATAAAAACAATAAAACCAAAGAGTGTGAATCCTGCAAACTCTAACAGGTGGATCTAGATTCAACCAATTGCTCGCTTAAGTCATGTATCACAGCAACAAGTGGTGACTAATGAAACACAAACATTAAAATTGAAATAAAGTCGCATAATATTAAAGATGTCATCAACTAAAAAAAAGTAAAAACAGAGGAAAACTTGCCTTCAGAAGTTCATTTATATAATATCTAATATCAAAGTCAGAAAGTGTGGGATAGAGCACTTTAAAATCTGTATTATTCACATATTCAAATATTAGACTTGGAGTCTTCGATTGCTGATCTCTAACAATATCGAGCAATTTCACGATATTTGGCCCGCCACAAAGGTTCTGAAGTATTTTAATCTCCCTCTTGATCTGCATTAGCACCAAGATTTCAAGTGAGTCCTCAACAAATTTAGTTTATTGTGCTTAGACAACAAGAAGATTACAAACTTTATTAGCATGAACTAAGCAGCAAATCAATAAGCCCAACCCACACTGTACCAAAAAAAAACCTAAACATATCCCTCATGAGCAAGAAGTACACTTGGTGAATAAAATAAACCCATAAAAGCAGACCCTTAAACTGGTAAACCATCACTAGGTATTATAGGAATCAACAACCCAGTTTGGGACTAAATGTCTTCAATAAGTGAGTAGTTTGAGGAACAAATGGTGCATACACAAACAAATACATACCATTGCTTTCATGAAGGAAAAAAAAAAGAAACTTGATAAGAGTCGTCGGAGAGACGTTTGTTTGGCTGGTTTTAAAGTTTTATTAGTGATTCTTACAGCACAACCTAGCCTTAAAATGATTATATTTGGTTTAGAAAAATATTAGCATTTCGATTCGAGAATGATATTGATGGTCTGGGTTTGGGTCTTAGGAGCCGGAGTGCCATAGGAAATTTTTTTGCAAAGGAGCCTATTGATGTTGACAAGGGGGCCACTAATTGCGTCAAAAACATTGGGGACCCTTTGATTGTTGAGATTTGGAGTGAATTGTAAGTGAAGGACAGGTATGTGCTCTCAGATGAGGAAAAATGGGGAATTCTTAAGAAATTTTTGTAGAAAATGAATTGTTCCTTGGTTCATAACAAAAAGAAAGGCAAGAAGAAGGGGGAAGGCAGAGCAGTGTTGGAAGATAGAGGAGTTTGTGAGCTTAGAAATTTGCAGTTGAGAATAAATTACAAAGGAAGGACTGGTAGGAGGATAGAAGAGGGTGTACTTAGTGTGCAATAAAGATAATGAGTTGGAACATGAGAGATTGGGGTCAAAGGAAAAATGAAGTTCAATTACAGAAATGATTGTAAAAGAAAGTCCAAATGTGTTTATTTTGCAAGAAACTAAAAATAAAAGTGGAAAGAAGACTCTTGTGAAGAGTGTCTGGATTCTAGGGTTATTAATTGGGTTTTTTAACCTTCTATAGGAAGCTCGGGGGGTATTGTTGTCATGTGGGATGAGAGAACAGCGACCGTGGAGGAGTCAACTGAGGGAGAATTTACAATGTCAGTGAAATTAAGACTAGGGGATGCAGTTGATTGATGGTTAACAGGATTGTATGGTCCCGAATTTCCCTAGAGAACAAAAATGATTATGGGAAGAATTGGCAAGGTTGTATGGCCTTTGTCCTCCAAGGTGATGTGTGGGGGGTGATTTCAATGTGGTTAGATGCCCATCTGAAAAGTTGCTTGGAGGGAGAACAATGAGAAGTATGAGAAACATGAATATTTTCATTAGGGATTCTCAATTAAAAGACTCTCCTTCGTCTAATTGCACTCTCACTTGGTCCAATCTTAGAGAAAACCCAATTTGTAATATAGGTTAGATAGATTCCTCTTTTCGGCAGAGTGGGGGGAATGTTATATGGGAGTTATACAGAAGGCATTACCCAAGGTGATTTCGGATCATTGCCCCATCATTTTGTATACCTCTTCTGTTAAATGGGGACCGTGTCCGTTTAAATTTGAGAATATGTGGTTAGAGCATCATGACTTGAAGAGGTAGTTTTAGGAATGGTGGGATGAGTTCATGGATGAGATGGGTATAAAATTATGAAAAATTGGATCTTGTGAAACGAAAGGTAGAGATATGGAATAAAGAAGTTTCTGGGGATATAAGGGTTCGTGAAGAGTTTAATTTTGAAAAGAATTGGTGAAATTGATAAAATTGAAGAAAAGGAAAACTAAGTGAAAGTATGAGGATTGAAAGATGGGAACTAAGGAATAAATTTGAGGAGATGGTTTTTAAGGAGGAAATAAGTTGGAGACAAAAAGCAAAGGTGAAGTGGCTAAAAGAGGGTAATAATAATTCAAAACTTTTTCATAGAGTGACAAATGGAAGAAAAAATATGTTCATTCATAAGTTGGAGTTCGATAGTGGAGAAATCATTGAAAAAAAAGTGAGAATTGAGAAGAAAAAAGATGTTTTTTGTTTTCATTATGGTTGGATCTCTTGTCCACCCCCATTTGCTTCTTGTAATTGTGCTCTTGTGCATATTTATAAAGTCTTGTTTCTTATCTAGAAAAAAAGTGCAAGGGAGGACGTGTCACTTATAAAAAGAAAAAAAAAAGGACATAAAAAGGAAAAAACGGATGCTACTTCGAGGATGGCGATTTGATGTGTCATCTTTCGTAATACTTAAATCATTTTCCAATGAACACAAGACATGGGGCTCCTGCACCTTAAATTGACATAAAATTTAAACACAATTTGAAAAACACGTGGAGATACAAACATTGATGTACCCAAACCGGACATGAAAATTTCAGGTCCTAATTCCGAAAGAAGGAATGATCAGGTAACATTTCTCATGCTACACTTAATAGCAAGCCAACAATGAGCAATGAAAATGTGGTTGTCACAAATTCCACCAATATATGCCATGAAGAAGAAGGGGGGGGGGGGGG